AAGGCAGTAAAATTTCACCCACAAAAAGCACTGTGCCAGGAGAGGTCAGAATCAGGTCATCGAAGCCCGATTGTGCTCTTGGCTCAGGGGAAAAGGCAGCCACGGGCAGAAATTGCACCTTTGCTTCAGTGAAATCCTTGCTGCATCCTTTCCTTTCCTCTTGCTGCCAGGTCTGAGCCCCAGGAAGCCAGCAGTGCCAGGCACCCCTTGGAGAAACTAGGGAGCCCATCATCAGGCTGTCTGGGCGTGTTGGACAGCAGGCACAGTGGGGATGGGTCTCAAATCACTGCTCGGCCTTGCAGGAACCACGATGGGTTTGCTCTAAGCTGATCTTTTTGGGTATAGCTGTTGAGGCAGATGGTCTGATGGCCTCCTAATAATAGTGATGTACATTATCCCAGTCTGCAGGAAGGTTCTCTTGGTTTTCTCTTCCATGGCAGGCGGCTGAGGGACCGATGCCAGGGACATCTTTTAGCTGTATATTGCAGAGGCAGTCAAAGAAGTTCTCTGCAGAATGCAGCTGGGCTCAATTACCCAAGCTCAGAGCAAGAAGTCAAACCCCAGTGAGGAGCTGGAACACTCGGGCTCATCTTGCCACTGCTGCAGGCAGACACCACTAAGTGTGGTCGCAAGAGGCGCCTCTTCCAGGTGACCTTATGGCTAAGGGATGCTTTGACCTCCTGACACACAAATAGCAATGCTCATTGCTCTTATTCACCATTTTGGCAGCAAACGCCTGGCTGACACTGTTCTGGTTTTAGGAAGTGGATCTGAAGCACATCAAACAGAAAACTGTTTTTGGCTGAGCCAAGCCGTTAATGACCTCCAGCTCTGTTTAAGTCTGATGCAGGGTGTGTTTATAACAGAGAGCAGGATCGGCTCCCCTGGGCTTAGGAGAATAAACATCTCGCAGGCGACCTCTGCATTAGGAACCGGAGCTGCTGCTGGTCCTGTCCCTGCAGATCATCTTCCACCACTGCCCGAAGGGGCTTCAGGATGGGTTTGGGGCTCAGAGCTGTGACTGTGTGTTGTGTTCAGCTCTGCAGCTCCCAGGTCTACTGTGGGAGACAATGGAAACTATATGATTATTGCCAAAGAGAGGTAACTGCTTGGCTGGAGAAGAAAGAGTTAAAGAAGAAACAAAGTACAATCAAGCAGAGCAACCCAGCTGGCAGAGGAGGAGAGAGCATAAAGATAAGAGACTGGCTACTCTGGGACTGGTTGTGAGAAAGCAAGCAGTGTTAACAAACAAACTATAAGTCGGGAACTAAACATGATAGGCTACAAATAGAATGGTATAAAAGCTAGAGCAATAGGCTAAAAATAACTGTTGTTAGAATGGTATAAAAAGTTAGAGCAGTAGGCAATAAAGCGATTCACTGCATGAAGATGCTCTGGGTCCGTGCCTTCATCCCCTCAGTCTGCTCCCAATGAAGGTTTCTAAGATATTCCAAAGATACCATTGATCAAAGCCCTTCCACATGAGGCCATGGGTGCATGGACGTGTTTGCATGGAGTTTGTAGGAGCCTCTAATTGGCCTTTTGAATCACCAGTCTTCAGTTTTAATCTCTGAGCCTGGAAAATGAGATAAACTGGTTTGTGTATACTTCTGGCCTTTTAGGGGTCTTGATTTAAAACGCTGTGAAGCGGGCATTGGCCGAGGGTGCTCATCACACATCGTGCTTCATCGGTACTGCAGCCACACACAAACCACCCCAAAATCCACCTGCTCCCTGGGGTTGGGGCTTCAAACAGCTCCTTT